GAAACCGTCGAAAATAAATCATCGGGCACCGAAGAGAGGGAGAGAGAGAGAGAGAGGAATCGGTGGTCGTTTATGTATTTGCCCCTTTTCGAAACATATGCAAATCTTGGATCGGATGGGTCGGACGTTTTTATCGCTGTTGCCTCTCCGCGATCGCTTGTTATTCCATATTTCAGAATCTTTATTCAATTAAATCCGATACAGGTTCCGCCGGTTTATCTCGTCGCGAATTTTTCGCAAATTCGAATAAATACGGTGACGGTATAAATAATATAATAAGGTGTTCGAAATTTCGTAGTTTCGTGCTCATCTAGTAAACGCATGATCTATGGCTGAGAGTTATTAACCGTTTACACTCGGCGATTTTTTCGTTACGGAAAAGAATATTTTATAACTAAATTTTTCGGGAAATAAAAAATCAATAATATGCAAATTAAGACGTGGAATTATTTTGCTTCAACATTCCACGCATTATTGGGTAATTTTAAATTTAATGTATTAATTAACATGGATCTTCAAAGTTATTAAATGGCGACTGAGAGTCGCCTCTCGAGTGCAAAGAGTTAAGGCTCTATAATTCGGATCGAAAATCCGAAGGATGAAAAATATCGAACGGAACGAAAGTCGATCGCCCATCGATCACGTGTCATCGATTCGACACGATCCGATTCGATCTAGTAATAGCGCCAGCTTTCCAATCCGATTCCACCCGATCCAGCCCGTCCCGACTCGACCCGACCCAAACGACTCACACGGGCCCGGCCCGAAGCAACTTAACTCGCTTTAATCCAATCTAAGCCAATTTGGTTCAATTTCATTTAATCCAACTCGTTTCGATCCGATTCGACTCGATGACCGGCCGATCTAGCACAATCCTACTTAACTCGATCCAGTCCGACTGGATTCAGCTCGTACAGACCGATTATGAAATAAAAATGAAAGGAAAAAATTTATCCCGATGAGGGATAAATAACAAGCGACATACGGCACAGTTAAACACGCGAGCAAACGGAGCGTGAAACGGTTAACACTTCGCGTAGCAAGCCGCCTATCGGTGAACGAAACTACCATTTGCTGTGCGTATCAAGGAACCCGAATGGGGAATCGATCTAATGAAAAATCAAAGCGTCGAGAATTCCGCGCGAGTGCTATTTTTTCCCGTGATCGACACTAGGAATTTTATTCCGAGAAATAAATTACCCGGAATCGCTACAGCGGCCATTTTGTGTGAGATTTTCCTGATTTTATCTGTATTAAGAAATACGACTGTTAAGCATCGCGATAATTTCTTTTCCCTCTCTACCATAACCAATTAAATACTGTTTATTCGAGTATTATCGTAATTGTAAATAAGGGAATTTTGTTTCGATATATCGCGTTATTTCGATACGGGATTAAATATTTATTCGCGTAGTGTAGGTTATGGCATAACGAGATCGTTGAATCAGTCAGGAGTTAATGTAAATATAGAAACTTTATTCCGATTGGAATCTCGATAACGGCCATTTTATTTCCGCCACGCGCGAATTTCCTAACCTTATCTGCATTAAAAAATACAACCGTTAAAAGCCGTGTCGTTGTGCCACGTTTGATAACTTTTCCCATCCACCACTGTACCCAATTAACTACTATCCATCGTCGCAATAGTGAATACGAAAATTTTATTTCGACATATCGTACATTGATACCGGATTAAATATTTATTCGTACAGTACAAGTTACGACACGTCGAGCTTGTTGAATCAGTGACGAGTTAATGTAAACACGTTTCGAGTAGCGAGACAAGCGAATTGGCAGAAATATAAACAGATAAGAATTCAAACCTTAGTGAGAACCGTACGAGGAAATATTTACTTCGATGTCAATGTACTGCGTACAATATACCCAAAACAAAGTAATACATACGTCCAGCTAAGCTTCCTGTGTCCCTTGTTCCCCAAAACAGTCGAAATAATAACACTCGTAATAATATACCGTTAGCCACGAGTCGCCATGTTGCCTCACTGCGCAGAAGCCGAAAACGGAACGCAGCGCGCAGCCCTTAGTGCCACGACAGCTGTCGACGCTGCGTCTTCACGGTTTAATTTATTACCCCGGCGTGCCGTGGCGAACAGCTTTGACCGTGGTTCGTGGTCCTTATCTGCTCATATTTCTGTCAATTCCCTTGTCCCGACACCCGAAACACGTTCGCCTCAACTCCCGGACTGATTTTACGACCTCGCTATATCGCTGGCCCGTGCTATACTTTTCTCTAGCGCACGAAACACGTCGACTAAAAGTTCCGCTATGTTCGGGCACACGGTCGAGCGCGATCAGGCGGAGTTTCAGCGGAGAGCAGTACGATCATTAGTCACGAGAGCGCGTCCCAGCGGCAAACATTTTCATTCTCGGCTCGTTTGAACGCTGAGCCGAACCATGGGCCGGGGCGTGGTCGAGGAAAAATCGAGCACTCTCCGGAAGAGTTGGTGTGCACCGGGTGCGAAATTGGCTACTTTCTGACTGTCCTGTACAGCGGCATGAGCGCGTCGAAATGTCGCACGCGGCTCACGTACGTCTCGCACATATTTATGCATGTATGCACACAGCCCCAGGGGCTCTGCTCTCTCTCCGTCTGCCTTTATCCCCCTCTCTCTTTCCCCCTACCCTTTCTGTCCCCGTGTGTCGTTGTGACACGAAACAGCAATTTAAGTTTCCGTCGTCGGTGGAAATCGTGCGGCACGTGACGTCGCGAATTAACACGTTAAAGGGCCGGGACATAAATTAACGTGTCAAGCCGCCGATAAGGATCGCCGGCCATACGGTGAAAACCGGCGCTTCGCCCGAAGAAAGTTCCCTTATCGGGCAACTTTTCTCCGCTGCTTGGTTACTTGCTTCGCGTGTACCCGATCCTATCTCCACCGATTACCCTCTATATTCCTATACCTGTTACGTTTTTACCACGTTATTTATTTCCAACGACCGGTCGCGCGCAACCTAACGGGTGGCCTAAATAGAAAGCAATAGGGCATACACCAATTTCCCTACATTTCTCAATCATTATTCCTCGAATTTTCATCGACCAATTGAACTTATTCTCCTTTTTTTTTCTTCCAAAATTTGATTAAATCGTCATCCCTGCGAAAGAGGAAAATAAACAGGAACAAACCCAAGACTCCAGGGATTAAAATTTAGTTTCGGATGACTTCAGTTGTAACTTTCCAAGATTAACTTCTCCGGTTCTCGAGACGTATCACACGACACAGAGGGCAGCACCGGTTCTCGGGACTTCGAGAAGTATGAAAAGCGTGGCATAATGCATCAGATGAGTAGGACGGAGAGGAGACTGAAGAGAGAGATTGACTGGCAGGCGTGTCGGGAAAGAAAACGTGTTACGAGACGGATCGCGAGGAAGCTGAATGGCTGGTAGACGCGGAACACGCGTGCATAGAATCGAAACCGAGTGGCCCGCGCTCGTCCCCCGGGCTATGTGCATACTTCAGTGTGCATAGCTTCCGCTCGGACAAACAATTCTCTGCCTACATCTGTCGGTTTGTCTCCGCTCGCTTCGCCTACGCGCCGACACGACGTCCGCGCAAACATTTCCGAGATAAGATCGGGGAATCGACTCTGGTCGATTAATTACTGTCACGGAATAAATACCGTGTTGCGTCGCCGCTGTCGCGAAAAATGGGGGAACCCGATCACGATAAAACAACCGAAAACGCGATAAAACGAGCGGAATTTCCATTTCCGCTTCGTTTTGGTCGAAATATTTTTTTTTTTTTCTTTTTCACTCTTTTTCAATCAAAACGTATTAATTAGTGATACGTACGAACTAGTTCCGTTTTCACTCGTGGACCAATTTGTTTTTCTTTCCTTTTTCAATACGGCTGGAAATGTAGAGTCGTTTATAATTATTCGATTTTATTTTTTATTTTTTTTATTGGCTGTATTCGATAGGAAGGTAGAAGAGGGTATGGATTATCGTTTGTTAACGCTAAGCCTACATATCGTGATCGGTGAAATTACCGGTAGACGAAGAAATGAAACGAGAAAAATAAAATACGTTTAAAGAAAAATTGCTCGAACAACTGACCAAAGCAATAACGTTCAGTGCGAATTTTTAATTGAAAATTTAATAAACAATATTTGGACCCTGGTAGGTTCAGTGTTAAAATTTATATGGGGCTAAAATTTATATTTTCGTTTCGATGTACACGTGTTACGAATTTTTCAATATTTTCTGCCGCCATTTTTCTATCTACAGGTCAGTTGAGTAAGTAGGACTTAGGGTCGTCAGACCTCTGAGTATAACTCTATAAATCGGACTTCCATCGTCTCTACCTCCACGAAGATCGTAATCCACGTGTGATAAGATCTCGCAAACCAATCATTCGTTACTTCCTGCTAGAGATTTACATCGTTTGAAATAAGATAAAACCCAAACCGTGTGCCCTGAAAGCTCCCATACATCAATTTTACGATTTTTGAACCTCCTTTACTCAAAAAGCTAAATAACTCGAGGTACGAGCTTAATATCACAGTCGTAAATATTAAAACCGAATTCCATCGAGATAATACAATGCTATCGTCCCCTTTCATCTCGCAGCTTCTCAAGACGGAAAGAAATAATTCCCGTGGCGTTACATTTCCACTTAATTTACGATTGACAACTGTATCATTATTCCGTGCCCGGCGCGTAATTCCTGCCTTCCCCGACAGGGTGCAGCTGCGTGAATAATTATAAACGGTGGTACGTGTCTTACACGGTAATCAGGTACCTCTTCGAACGGTTAATCCGTAAATGAAACAACGAGACTCGATTCCGTTTCCGTTTAATTTCCAATTTTCATCGAGCAGCATCGAGAACGCGACTGCTCAATGGTAATGGCCGAATTCGATTAGTCAATGAGGATCGACGACAGAGCGCGCCACCGTTCGCTTTCCAATCACGGGAATCCGTTCGAGGGGTGAGACGGCGGGACGGGGTTGATTTACGGCCAGTGAAAATAAAGGTTTACTTGTGATACTGCGTCTGAAGAAAGTTGAAGTCCTCCTTGATACGATCGCACAGCTCGCCGATCGAGAATTTATACTGCTGGCCTGGCTGCGGTGGACCCTGAAACAGCAAATAAAACCGTAAGATCAGTTCCTGTCCGAAAACACTTTTTGCTCGCGCAAACACACCGAGCTGCTGTTCCCTTTTACGCAAAAACCGCTCCCAGGGACGAACAAACGAATTTTCACACGCTAAACCCTTTGTTCCGCGACTAGTCCCCGTAAAAATGCGGAATACGCGTTCCGGAACACTCCTCTGCATTGTTGCACCGTGGCGAAGAAACCGGGTGTAATTACCTTTTAACTCTTTGTACAGCTAATCTCCAATTATTCTTTTCCTTCTCGCATAATTCACTCGTATTTTCAATATTTTGCTTCAGATGTACTTTGAGAAACGACTGTATCACAGTATACGATTTAAGAAAATTTTTACTACGAATTATGATTCGTAATAAAATAGAAAAAAATTAATAAAGGAGAAGGAAAGGAATAACGAAAAAGTTCGAAATCGGTAATAAAGAGAAGTTAAAATTGTAATAGAAACGATAGAAATTTCTCCGACGTAATAGTTTGTCACAGACCTCGTGAAATTCTGCTAAAGCAATTTATTTCCGATCTCACGGCGAGGTACGGTTTCGAACTTTTATTGCATAATGTACTTCCACGTGCGACCCAGCGTAGTAGCGCTGGCGATGAAAAAGGAAGCCGTGGAAGCATCATACGACTAAAAGGTTACCCTTAAACGACTCTGCTTGATCTTGTTTGCAACGAAGCGAACCCCGGTTAGGGAGCGAGAGAGGGACGCAAGGAAATATTTCCTAGCGTCTCGAATTTCCATCGGGACGAAGCTGCTACGGGCTACGGTAAACAGTTTACGGAGGGACAGCGACGCGATCTTGATCGACGGACGGCGTGAAAGACACTGAGCGATTGGCGAGTGGTGGGGGGTGCGTGACCTTGGTCCGGTTCTCGCCAAACGCGCGCAGAACGCGCCGGGAATCGCGGGCGAAGTTAGTCGACTGTTTTCCAGGCGCAATCGGACGTCGTGATTGAGTACGGAACGAACGGTAATCCTTCGATGTGCCGGATGCACTTGTCACGGCCCACGTAAGCAGCCGCCTCGAGGCGTGCACACACGAACGCAGCCGGCATAAGCGGCGGAAATCGTGCCGCTGCTTTGGCTTCCGTTCGCTGATTACGCCTCCAGTTTAAACCTGCGCGTATCCCGAATACGTACGCGCTCGCGCATCTCTCTCGCCACCGACAATTTCAGCTCGTAAAAGCCTGCTCGTAAGCGCGAGGAAAAAAGGATTCAGGAAACACTTTAGATGGAAATCGACTCTCGTCCCGACCGCGAGAAACATTGTTTCCTAGCCGGCGAATATTCGCCCGGGGAACGAAGTTTCTCGTAAAAGCGTAGCGCCGGCAGATATTGCCCCGTCGAGCGTAAAGATGCAACCAACTACCGCTATCCTTTCCAGGATAATCGACTCCACTCCGGCCTGTATAATCGCCCGGTAATTGTCGTTAATTAGCGGGCATCGAAGCATCGTCTAAGTCTATTATTAATTATCCGGCTTTCGATAGAGTGGAAGAATAAAACGGAAGTGGAAAAAAGAGAGTGGGGAGTATAATCGCCGGGAGACTCGGAAGCTTCCTCTCTCCCGCCCCTCTACCCCCACTCGTCGCTTCCTACACTTTCTTACACACCGTGTCAGCGGTCTCGAATATCTTCGCCGAGCATCCGACGTTTGTATCCGGCGTTTCATGAAATTTACATCACGCCCTCGAACCGAGCTAAGTCCGAGAGAGAAACGAGTTCTCCTTGCGCTTCACAAAGGGAGAAGCGTGTCCCGGGTAGGACATTTCGGGCACGTCAACCGGATTTTCCGCTCCGGCCAAAGATATCTCGCTTGCCTCGCGAAATCGCCCCCTTCCACGATCGATAAAGATCCCAGAGTGTATCACGTCCCGGGTCGCTTTTATTCCCGGTGAAACAACGGGCGCAAGAGAGTGTCAGGAACGGCGGAAATAGTGGCGCAAATTCGGTTGCTGCTCCGGCATTTGAGAGCCCGATGGAAACCCACGCTTACCGACTTTGGCGGCAGCTGTACCAGCGCCCACGACCGTAAAAGCCACATTATTACCGGTAGTACCGCTGCTACCCACCTCCGTATACCTGTCGGTAATAACGTTACGAGCGTGTTATCGATCGTTTTGCACGTCGTACCCCGCAAAACGGATACGCCACGACGGCCTCGTAAAAGCTGAAATAGTTCCTCCACCTCCTCCGCCGCCAGCTCTTCCCCCACCACTCAGCCATCACCGACCGACTATATAGCGCGCCCTCTCTCTGACCCACGCCTCTACCACGCGCTCTGTCGCCCTCGGGACCGAGAGGGACCGTCTATACGTGTTATTCTGTACAAGCTTCGTCCCGTATCTCGCGGACTTTAATAAAAATGCTGAAACGCGAAAGTTTCAACGGGGGTACGCCAGAGGTATTTTGGAATCACGTAAAAAGAGGATTTCGGGCAGCAACGTGACGTGAGAAAATTAACATTTCCGGAAATACTGCAGCTGAATTCTGCGACTCGTGTTTTTCCTCTCGGTGAAATTTCGTGCTTCGTTAATTACCTAGACGAGTACACCCATTGTATCGAGGTGTGAACGACAAACAACGTTAAACCGTGCATACCCGTAAGAAAAATATCGGCCGCGATATTTCGTGGAATATTCGTGTCTTGCAAAATTAATTATTCTGTATATTAATTCCATGTCGCGTTAGTTAGATCTATAACGGGGCAAGATATCGTTTCCGAGTCATAACAGTAATCGTTAATAATACGGAAAACAGGCAGCCAAAATTTAGCAATGATAAAGAAACGAATGAAAAACCTTAACAAAATAATAAAAGGAAATATCGGAACACTGACATGTATATCAGAAATAAAAATCACCAAATTAACAAAGTAATAACGTTAAATACGCAATTCCCAATCAGAAGCTTAAAATTGGCAAGGTAGCACTTGTCTTAATTTTCGGCTCAATTTTCGTGACCTGTGACTATAGTCACCCGTAGTAGTGACAGGATTAAACGCGTATAGTCCTTCCTGCGCCCATGCTTTGTCCAAGAAACACCCCCAACGATCAGCGGTTGGACTCATAAACATCGAGCGTAAGACCTTCAAGCCGCGAAATAACTTATCGACACTCGTTCTCGCCCGAGCGGGTCTACCCCCACCACGTTATCGCGAGACGGTCTCGCCACTCCCCTAAATCACGCCACGTGACACCGTTCTCCTCGTAAGCGCGAAGGTTCGCGACAACCGCGCTCGATAAAACCCAGCACGGGCGTCATTTATGATACCAAACTACCCCGGCGACTTGGCTCGAATCGATAGGCCATGCTTATCAGGTTAGCGTAATATTTACCACCGCCTAACGTGCTGGTTGTCGCGAAGCCGTCAGAGGCAACATCGCGTATCTTATTCGTCGCGTGAGTATCGACGTCGCCAGCCACTCCGTGTACGTGTGCCCACACGCAGACGAGCCGAGGGTGGGGGGAGCCGCAGTCGCTGGTGTGCGCGTGTTTTTAAGCGATATCGAACACGTGTAAACGCATCGGGGATACCCTTGCATCCGGTCAACGGGCCAGCTTTAAAAGCCGAACAAACGAACGAGACGAACGAAGACGGACGTTGGAGCGCGAGGGAGACCGACGGCGGCGCTCGGGGCCCGCAAGAATCGACGGAGCCACGCGCGCTTGCTGATCGGCAGAATCGTTGATCCCATTTGTCCGCGCAAAGCCACCCGCGGTCAATCCAATTAATTTATTGGCTTTCGCCGCGGAGCACCCATACTCTCTCTCGTCCGCGCTTGCTCCACGTTATACTTAACGGCACGAGCTTCCGTCGCCGCGCATCGCGGTAATGCCTGCGCCACGGCAGGAAAAGCCCCAGCCCCGATTTCAAACACCTATTCTTCGTGAAATTGAGGGCCCTTCCGCGGAAATATCTCACCCGTCGATTTAACTCTTTACGGTCCAAGGACTTTCCGTTACAGGGAAGTGGTAACTCGAAGCTTTTACACTGTGAAGCCCATGACTTATTTACTGCAATATAAAATGGAACCGTGCATAAGTGATACTTAATATCGTTCATTAATCTTCGTAATTTTACGAAAATTTTTTCGAATGCAGAGGGTCAATATCCGGGACCGGATACTGGAACCTTCTTGTGAGAGTCCTGTAACTATTGGTACTTACAACTGAATGTGTGTTACAGGAGATAAAATTAAAAAATTTGTTTGTAACCTATTATATCCTGATATTTTTACCTGATACTATAACTCGAATAATTAAATTCGTATTAAATATTTATCCACTGCAAGAAACCAGAATAATTACGATAAACGTGATAACAATGTACAGTCAATAAATTTGTATCAACAGTACCGTGCAAATAATATTATATCGGTAAAATTAGAAAATAATTCAACGATCATTTACGTTACATTTACAGGAGATACGAACCGTGGTGGCGCTAGTGAGTTAAACGGAAAACCAGGCTTGGAACGCTTACTCGTGAAAGGTCAAACGAGGAACCGAGTATGCGTAATGGCCAAATCTACAATTTTATATTTATTTAATTCACGCGCGCGTCTGTCGATACACAGAAGGGTGTATCGATGAGGCAGAAGGGTCGTTGTAGGAAATAAAAACTGTACGAGAAACAATGGTAACAAAATTTAATTAAAAAAATTTCTCTACAGTCTATTTTTTTCCTCCGGATATTTTAAATTCGTACTGCGAATTCGCACGAATATTTCTAACCGACTTTCAAAAAATAAAAACGTATTTATGCCCCCCGTATTTCTTCCTGCCTTTTTTCCCGGACACAGATTCTTAACGGTTACGTTAACCGAAACGATCGTACCTCGTTACCGATAACGATTCGCGAGGGAATTCCAACGGCCACTGATTCCCCGTTAATCGATTATCCTCGTAACGCGGAACGGGATCCGCGCGGTATATTTAAAACGTGGAAGGTAAATACGAAA